ATTGTCATCCTTAAGAAAATATATAACCATATATAGTCACTATATCATCAAAAATCTAGACTGTTCAAATTTCCCAATCTTGTATTTTTTTTAAGATTTTATTTAGTCTTACGTAGAAGTACTGGGGTACAGGCCAGAGGTGTGGGGGCTGAGAGGATTCACCAGAGACAGAATAGGGAGCAGAACAGGCAGATCTACTGAACTAACACTGCTAAGGCTAGCAGAGGGCGAGACAGGAGAGGTCTGCTGAGCCATGTGGGTCAGCTCCCTGGCAGGGGATTGAACTCATGCTGCTGTGATTGCTAATGGCTTCCTAATTGCTGACACCTAACCTCTTGTGCCACCAGGGAGGTCCCAGTCTTGTAATTTTTAAACAATTTTTCTTAAATCAGGATTCAAATAAGGGTCATACATTACAGTTGATTTATTGCTTTCTTAAGTTTATTAACCTACTGACTTTTATTCTCTTTATCTCCTGTTCTCTCCTTCTCCCTCTCCTTTTACCCTTACCCCTCCGGCTGTCCCTTTCCCTCTCCCTTACTCTCACATATAACCAATGGATACAATCACATACCATTTATTTGTTGAAGAATTTGGGTCATTTTTCTGTAAGATTTTCCATACTCTGAATTTTGCTGATTGCATCTTCCCCTATATATTTTTGCCCTATATTTTAGATCAGATTTTTTCCCTATATTTTAGATCAGATTTATGAGGGGTTTTTTGTTAGCTGATTAGTAGTAATATCTTAGAAAATGTCTACTTTTATCTGGAGGTATTCCACTCATATTAAAACCTAGTGAAGAGCATTACGTAGATCCTTTCATTTCATTGGGGATTGCAAAATGGTGACATTTAGACATTCTTGTTTATAAACATATTTCTATCAGCCGTTTGGTTAAGGTTCAATATTTTTATAGGAAAAACAGAATACATGATTTATTTGATTTTTTTCTTGCATTTATAAACTAGTTACAAAACAATGAAGTGATACTCTAGCATCCTTCAAAGGTGACCAGTGAGTTAGTTTTAAATAGCATTGAGAAGTTGTGGACTTAAGGACATTTCTTGTGTCAACCCATTACCTTTGCAATTCTTACTCTTCACTTTACCCTATGGTTAGATGCTGGAAGCCTTTTCAAGTTGGCTGTTGAGTCCTTTTGATATCAACCTTGTACTTTTTCATTTCTGGTAGGGTGTGATGTTCCAGGATCATTCTATACATTTTCTGACCTTGGTTGGAAATCATCCATTTCTCTAAGAGCTCTGGTTCCTTTTAGTAAGAAAGAGTACTTAGAGATCATATTCTGGGTACACAGACTTTTTAAATACCTCATAGTGAAAACAAAGTAAAAAATAATTCATAAGTCTAGACTTGATATAGTAACTTTCCATTATGGAAATAGAAAGATTGGTTAATTCAAAATAATGAACATTCAGAGTTATATTTTGTTACAAAATTGATGTCAGATTACATTTTTATTGACTTCCTTTGGCTTTCTCTAGGTATCTACCATCATATACAATGGAAGATTGCAGTTCAATATATGCTGATTGATAAAAGTGGAGCCAGTCAAAGATTAAAATTTTAGCGTGAATTATCTCAAGTCTATCCAAAAATAATGAAAGTTGACTTTAAAGCATTCCAAATCAATGAAAGTGTTTGGTATCCGCAAAGCAAAATAAGAAACACTTACTTGGAACCTAAATTTCCTCATCTATAAATTAAGAGTTGGATTAGAGAGTATCTCCTAGATCTAAGTCAGTCTAAAAAATATTTGATCATTATTTGAGTTTTTCTGTTCCTGTAGCTTGTTCATTTATGCATCAAATATTTTAAAATCTCTTAGTGGCTACTGGGCAATATTTAGAAATGATGGAAGGGTAGGAACACCAAGTATCCTGCTAAGGTGAGATACTTACCTCATCAATACATCCTGTGAGCCCATAATAATAACTACTGAAATTCATCTTTGTGTTTTTTAATCCATTGTTTGAGAAGTGAAACCATGAGCACTTTTATCAATATTTTGCCCACACTGAAAAACAGCTTGCTTGAATTTTTCTTTTTCTAAAGACACAAATACTTGTTTTCAGTTGTTATGACACATTAACAAATCCTATTCTGCTATTATTAGAAACTTAATTGATCACTTTTTGTTTGACATGCAGTTCTTTGGCTTAAAATTTTCTGCAAATTACTTGGGGTAGTAAACTATATAAATTAATTCATATGATTGTTCTATATTTCATTTGTAGCTTTTAAAAACTCATGTCTTCAAAATGTAGTTAGTAGAGTTAATGGAGAATATAGCATTTATATATTATTGCATTATATTCTCTTAGGATGTAAATGATCCACTTCAGCAGATTTTCTATAGCTATTTTCACTTGAAATGATAATCTAAATATTACCAAAAATGTACATGGTATTCATCTATAAAATCACGTTCTTAAATACCCTATACAAAAGGTAGTCAGAAATTTGCATTAAACTGGACTTGGGTGGAGAGAAGCACAATAGTAACGAGAATTCTTAATATTTTCTTGTTTTTCTTATTTTTGTTTTTTCAAATACAGTAATAGAGCATCCCCTTAGCTCCTACTGAGTTAGCCTTCAGTTAGTTTGATAAAGAAGCATATCAGGGCCTAGGGGTTAAGTCTCAGCGCTATCACTGAATTACCTGAGTTCGATCCCTGGCCAGGGAGCTGACTCACATGGCACAGAAGACCTCTCCTGTCTTGTCTGCTGCACCTGTCAGCAGTGCATTTCAGTAGATCCACCTGTTCTGCTCCCCATTCTGTCTCTGGTGAATCCTCTCATCCCCCGCAGCTCTGACCTACACCCCAATTCTTCTATGCAAACATAAATAAAAATACAATCTTTAAAAAAAAAAAGAAGCATATCAATGATTCTTCCAAAAGTTTACATCATTCTCTCCAGTAGTGATAAGCTTGATATTTAAAGAAGTTAACTACTTGTATTTTCAGACTTCAATGATGCCAATTAGGGCAGCATTTTTTTATATTCTATAATTAATTACTTAAAAGAACTAATTGACAAAGTTTATTACCAAGGCATAGGAGTATAAAAAGATCCTATTATAATAAAATTGCAGTGCTGGCCATAAATCCATTACAAGCCCCTGAAGACACTTACATTCCTATATATTTTAAATGACAGGTTAAACTGTCTCTAAGATGGTTATCTTTATAGTTTGTGATACTCCAAAGTTTCAAATTTAAGTTGCTATTTTATACAGTATACATATTTTGTCATGTGATTTTGAATAAGAGAATGCCTTCTGTTATGTTTTTTGTATTTAAATTTTGTATTGAAATAACATCTTATAACAGTGTTATAATGCAGTGTGCAGCAGTGCAATTCAAAAAGTAAAGAATTCTTACTTCAGGAAATAGTTTCTTATGTAGTATATAAGGTGTTCACCTATCTATATTTACCCATTTTTAAGGGCTGGACAGTTTTTCTTCCTGTCTCTTTGCTGCTGCTTAAATGTCCACATATTGCCTTGTTTGGATATTTAAGTTTTGTTGTGTGACTATAAATATAATTTCTCCTTATTCTACTCAATGGAGTAAAGAACTTCTTCCCATTCTTAATCTGCTTTTGTAACTGCCAGATACATTTACTTTTGCATACATCACAGTAGACTTAACCATATTCCTTTCGAATTGCTCTACCTGATGTAGTCACTAGCGACTAGCAGCTATTGGACACCTAAAATGTGACTGGGTTGAATTTATATGTGCTGTAAATACAAAATGCAGACTTAGTGTGAAAAAAGAATATAAAATATTTCAAAAGTGTTTTATTGATTGCATCTTAAAATATTATTTTTGGGGCCTCCCCTGGTGGCTCAGCGGTTGAGTGCTGGGCTGCGAGGCTGCCCACAGCCTCTGCAGCACCGGTTCGTTCCCCGGCCGCCAGCGAGGGTCCCACAAAAAAAAAAATTTTTTTTGATTTACTGATTACATAAAATATTTTTAAATGTCATAATTACATAATTTTTACCAGTTTCATTTTACCTTTTTTTAATGTGATTACTAGAAAATCTTATGTTTATCACATTATATTTCTAATGGATAGTACTGTAAAATAATACAATAATCATCATTAACCATGCAATCCAATTCCCCATCCTTGCATAATAGATAGTGCTACTCCAGACCTTTTCCCCCAAGTGGAAAACTGTATGTAGTTGCTAGCTTGCCCTGTTGCAGGTACTGTGAGTGATGGGGGAGTAGACTTTTTCTCCTCTGCACATAGCGCTGATAAGTATCACCACAGTGTTACATGTAGTACCACTCGAGGAGGGGAAAAAGCATTTGTACTATTAATACAAATAAATCCATTGTCTTTGTTGTAGATTGTTGCATTCAGAATTTTAAGGAAATTATTATTATTATGAGAATAATTTTATTCTATGGGTCTTTTGCTATCAGCTTCATAAATAATTGTTAAATATGAAATGCATGTTAATAAGGAAAGCCTAACTATTTTGCTTCAGTGAATACTGTTAGACTTTTATTTTTTAATCTGATAACACTGTGTGAGTATTAGAATAAGAAGCATATTAGATTTTTCTGTTTCATTGCTATTGGAAATACATATTCACATTCCAGTTATGATATGTTGTACTTGTTATATTTCAGACTTTAGATATATATAAAAGGCAGAGAATTCCTACTAAAACTGAGGTATATTTAAATAGATGTTATGTTTTAATCTCATGTAATTTAACATAAATATTATATGTAGCATACTTTGAAACATTACTCAGTATATTTATTATAAAGAATTTTTAAAAACCCAGCTTTAAATTTGAATATTGAAAACTGTCAAAATTACATATTTTAAATATCAGATGATCAGCACTATGATGGCAGTTGCATTCATGTAAAATGTTAGCTAAGCAATAAAATATTTGATCATTACAGAAATATTCTCTTGTAAAACACCAATTTTGTCTAATTTTTAGGAAACCAGAATACGGGCAATGGATAACGATGCCAAGAAAAGAATCCATAATTTCTCTGTCATCAACCCTGTTCCTGGACAGGCTATAACTCATATTTTTGCAGCTGACAATAGAGAAGATCTTCAGAAATGGATGGAAGCCTTCTGGCAACATTTCTTTGATCTTAGTAAGACAATGTTTGGCTTTTATAGTAATATATTCATGTAGCATGAAAGGATGCACACAGCAATTTGAATATCAAAATTATATTATAATCTTATAGTTTGTATCAAGAATTTTTTATGCTATTGAATTAAATGGTGGTATATTATCAATGCAAAAAAGCTTTTTTCTCTCAACCTTTCTCCATTGCCTGCCTGACTGTGCAGTATGCCATTGAATTGTTAGTATCTCTACCTCTTTAAGTTCATATGTTAACTGAAACAACTATACCACATTTTTTCAGAATATTAGGTTTTAACTAGTTTAGTCAGTGTTTTTGATTAAAAGGTTAAGAAACCGGTTGAGGAGTAAAAATACTTTTCTAGGCTAGTGATGATCCTAAAATACTGAAATCCTCAGGCAATTCATTTTTATGTAAACTTCTGTTAACTCCAGATTTATTCTAATATTACCTTGGATATCATCCAAAGAGAATTTTCTTAAACTGCACATATAGTTTTTCAGTTTCATTAATACAGTCCAATGGCATTGATTATAAAAACAATGTACTAGTAATGTGACCAAGTTCTGATGTTAAGCATGTGAGGTTCTAATATCCTTAATTTAATGAGAAATTTTATCAGAAAAATACTGGAGTTGTAGCACTTTGTCTTTATTGACAATAAGCTTAACAACATATTATGTAAAATTTTATATTGAAAATGTAGAATTTTGATAATGGCTATTTCTAATCAAACTAAGCCTACTATTTAGGTTCAAGCAGTGTTTTTATGTCTTTAAAATCCTTTTTTATAGGGTTACAAATTTATGTCTATTTCCAGACAATAGAAAGTTTATTTAGTTCCTAAAAATAATCCTAGAAACATTTTAGAAGTTTTTAGGAGCAGTTTTCAACATCTCTGTAAAATAGTTAAATGCCTATAGAGTGAAGTCCTTAGATTAATTGATTTTTATAAGCCTACTCTGATCCATGACTTGATCAAGTATACAGTGATAGATGTGGAGGAGGCATGAAAGGAAACTATATGTATTGATTATTTACCATATGACTTCATTCATTTCTTATAATAACCCTGAGATACAAATTATTTCCCTCTACTCTGAAGAAGAGAAAACTGAGGCCTAAAAGAGTTCTGGTTTATTGTAGGAAACCAGAGGACTTCCTCCGTGGCCTTCTTGGTTACTTTAGGAGTTTTTTTCTTTAAGTACTATCTCTAGTCACTCAGTAGATGTTGTTCTACATTTATCAGCATATACTACATTTTTTTATTTTAAAAAATTTCAGCTGATTTTAGGTGTGTAACTTAAAAGACAACTTCCTAAGCAGATATAATTTTAACAGCTTTCCTAAATGCTATGATTCAGAAACTGTCTTACAAAAGTATAGTTTTACAAAAAACTTAATTTTAGAAATGATTGGTATTTTCAAATTTTTTATATACATAAAACCAGAAAAGAGGGGTAAATGGAGGTAAAGATGCCAGAATATTGCAGTGTAAATATCAGCTACTACTAGATGATGATCTGATGTTTTTATTCTCCAGATTATATAAAATAATTTACCATGGTACATTTGGGAGTAGGAGGGGTAAGACTCTCATGACATTTTTGTGCTGTCAAAATAGTCATGATAATGAGATTCTCTGTTCTGGTTCTTTAGTATATATACTTTGGGGATAAAATCTGCCAATCTAATTTTTAAAATATAAGTTCTATTGCATTTGCATTTTAGAATTCATTATGTATGAAGTATAAATTAAAGATGGAAATATTTATAATTCTTACCTCTCTCGTGTTCTTAGGTGAAATACAGTATTTGGAACAAAGTAGAGAGGATGGATATTTAGGATAGATAAATAAATGGATGGATGTCCAGGGCATAATAAAGTAAGAGTAATTTAATGTTTAGAGCAAATTTCAATTATTTGTCTGCACTCAAGCCTTGGAAATCAGGAGAAATCATGAGGAAACTTTGGAAGTGGGTATGTTTAGCCTGTTAAATAGCCTGAGGAGGTGGAGGCTGGGAAGGAAGGGGACTATAATACCTTTTTTTAATATTTGAGACCTAGTAAGCATTTAACAGAGGAATGACACCTGTTATGGATGGTCAAAAAATGATTGCTGGCTCAAAGATAATTTTTTAAAATATATAGTAATGTGAATATTGAATTACATGAGCAGCTTAGCAGATCATTTTGACTAGGAACAGTATAGCAATAAATATTGTGGAAAACTTTTTCAACATGCAGATCGTATGTAAACAAAATATATATTTTTAGTATATCATACTGGTTCTTTATTTTTGTTAATTTATTAGTATCATATAACTATATATACTAGTTTATTCACTAGTAATGTAAAGTTTTCAGTTGTAAAGTCTTGACTAGTGAGCATACCATGTTTGTACTTCCAACTCTAGTGACACATGGGATAATGTAGCATTCAATTCCAATTTGCAACATGATTAGTATTCTGCTACAACTGTAACAATGAAAAGCTTTCCTCTATCTACAAAGAGAAAATAACTGCACTTGGTAATTTGTCTACGATTGTGACAGAGAAATGTTTGCCAGGTTAAAGTGTTTTATTATTTTTCCATTAGTTAAGGGCTTTTCTTTTTCTGCCCTCAAGAAGGAAACACTGGCTTTTATATATTTATCTCAAAAAGGAAGTGGAGGGGAGGAATAAGTTATCAGATCTAAGATCCTTCTAGATTTCAATTCTGTACAACAACCTTTGAAGCCTCAAAATCAAGATTTTATTCCCTTTATGAAATACTGTGTGGGTTATTTAAATTTTTAACATATCTTGTATTTAGCATTATAATAAAACATACTAAAATATTTATCTTAACTACTTAAGGTGATAGATTTTAAGTTTATGCACATGTTACCATTTTACCATGACAATTATATGAGACTTGAAAACAACAAAAATGAATAATTTTTCTAATCATTAAATGTCTTCAATTTTGAAGCCACTAAGAATAACTGAGTTCCATATTGACTATAGATTGAAAATACAATAAAAGGAGCAATGTAGATCGTAAAATTTTCAATTGTCAACTGCCTTACATGCTTTGAACTATCTTACATGCTGGGTGTTTTTAATAATTAAAATAGAGAATTTGTTTGTATAGAGTCTGCCATGAATAGAAATTTTAGATATTTACCATTTAGTGATTTTAATAGTGTGGAGACTTTAGCTTAATATCTATGCATAGATCTTCATTTTTTAAAAAATTATTTTGCCTAGATTTGAATTTTGAAATTATGTATAGAATTAGGTTTTTATGACTTCCTTGAGGCAGTATTTATAAATGCACTACTTTTTTTTCAAAGCAAAAATGTGTTGATATTTGTTGAAATTGAAATATACATCTTCACATTTATGTTTTAAACTAGCCTGGCTTTTTCTGTCTTTTTTAGGCCAATGGAAGCATTGTTGTAAAGAACTTATGAAAATTGAGATTATGTCACCACGGAAACCACCTTTGTTCTTGACAAAAGCAGCGACCTCAGTCTACCATGATATGAGTAAGTGGGGTTTGTCTTTTCTTAGCTGCAGGGTAACAAAAACAACATTGTCCCTACTCAGGCAGCTTATTCTATTGACATTAAAATGCTAGAATTTTCAGGGCACAGTCAAAATGAATGGAAAAGGACTATGATTATAGACTAAGGAACCTCATGTTTAATAGATGAATTAATGCAAAATTAATGAATACACATTTTTCATAGTTTGAATGCTTAAGATCAGACAAAAATGTTAGGACCTCAAAATGGAAAGTGTACACTCAAAATAAATATTAGCTGAGTAACTGACGAAAATTCTGAGAATGTAAACTTGCAGATTCTAAAGTAAAATTTTACTTTAGAATACAGTAATTCTTTTCCTGTATTTTATCAAATTTGTTTTAAAGTAGTGTTGATGAATGAATATGAATAAAGTGAAAGCTTTCATCTTAGGCCAAAAAAGTGGTTAACACTTTGGAAATTTTCAAATTTCTAGACTCATTAATGTTCCATTTCTCCACACTCTGAACGGTATTTCTTATCTTTGTGGAATTCCCTCAGTGAACAGTGTTGTGAACAAGCACAAGTCAATACTAAATTTTAATCTATTTTGCTACCAATATCCCTCCACTTAATGACACATTTGGGTTTACACATTTGAAAATACTAGTGATTCATGCAGTAGACATTTATCTCTCTTATTTTTCCTAAGAAAAATTTTACCAGGATCTTTATTAATGCAGTATCAAGCCTTCTTTCTCTGTCCCTGGGTTTTGGTTTTAGATTTTTCCCTTTTAGCAGAGATTTTGTAGGTCTACAGGATAGGGTAGTAATCCATTTGCTTTTATTTGTCAGGCTTTGGAGGAAGGGAAGCCACTCCTGCATAGAAGTAAAGAGGTGATTTTAAATCCAAAAAAATAAAGGTTATTTAATAAATACTTAAAATATAGAAAAAGTACTGTTGTAACAACATTTCTTTGAAAGCTGAACTTTATATATTTATGCATATGTGTTTGAAAGAGAAAGAGACAAGAACAGTGCATGATCTCCTTATCTTTGGGCTCTATTGGTGTGGTTATTTTTGCAACTAAATGATTATTTAAAAAGCACTTTTTTATTATAGTTAAAGATAACATGTTGGTTTGAAAAATAGTTACAGGCAAAGTATATACTGCCTTTGAATTTTTTCCTGTGTACATTTTTCTTAAAATTTTATAGGCATTGATTCACCTGTGAAACTTGAAAGTGTAACTGATATAATCCAAAAAAAAATTGAGCAGACAAATGGACAGTTCCTTATTGGTCAGCATGAAGAATCCTCACCACCTCCTTGGACTGCACTCTTCGATGGTAATCATCAAGTGGTCATCCAGAAAAAGGTATTATCTCCTGAAAGTGAGCAGTTACATGATGGGAAAAGGAAAAAGAGACGAGCTCCCCTTCCTCCTCCTGATAAAGTGCCTTTCACCTTAAAAACACAGAGTAATACAGATCAATTGGTTAAGGACAACTGGGAAAAAGCAAGTGTATCTCAGACTTCGCCTTCGGATACCAAATTATCAACTCTAATGCATCACTTACAGAAACCAGTGGCTGCGCCTCGAAAACTTCTTCCTGCCAGGAAAAATAGTTTAACTGATGGTGAACACACAGACACTAAAACCAATTTTGAAGCCAAGCCAGTGCCAGCTCCAAGGCAGAAATCTATCAAAGATGTTTTAGACCCTAGATCATGGTTGCAGGCACCAGTATAGAATATCCTTAATGTATAAAACATTCAACAAGATCTATAACTATGCAACTTAATTCAGAGCCACTATAGAGGTTTGTAATTATATGGGCAAATATGATAGTGATTCAAATCAATAACTAATAACTGTTAGGTATTAACAAAAAGTCTTATAATAAAGAAATGCATTTATCTTTTACTTCTGATTTTCAGAATATAAGTGACTCCCCTAGCACAGTTCAGGAGGCAGTTTCTAGACAATGTCCTAATTGTTAGAAGGGTTAATTTATTTCTAAATTAGTACCAGGCAGTGAACAAGCACTAGGCAGAAGAAAGCATTAAAATTTCTTTGGGTGAAGACTGTCTAGTAATTTAAAATGTGTTAAATAAGAGCCATATTCTCATTGTGAGAATTTTAATAGTAATGGAATGTTTCAAAAGTTTTATTCAAACCACAAATTATAGAATCCACCCAAGAAAATTTTCTTCTTAGCATTCTGGAATTCTCATCTAATGGTTCACTGGCTCTCATCTATTGTTTAACTCACTAGTTAACTCACTGACCTTTCAAATTCCTGGGATAAATTTTGGAATATTAAATTCTTCGTCTTTAAAGGGAATTTGTAATGTGCTATTCAAAGCTGTTTCTTTGATGAGCCCTGAAATCCTGTTGGCATTAACTCTCATAAGTGAAGCATAACATTTATTAGTTTAGAGAAAATGTAGATTTAAATGTTCTTTACTTCCACTTTTCTATGCATAGTGCTAATTTCTATTGTGACATTGGAATTTGGGGAAGTGAGTAGCTGATTAACACCTTAAAATTCATTTAATACTTATTTAAAAAGCAGATGGCAGATTCAAAAATATCAGAAAAGTTGGCCTTGGTAATAATTTTCAGAATTAATCCTTTTATATATTTTTAATTAGATTTCCTTTTTCTAGTAAGAGGTTGATGTCTGCTATTGATATTATTCACTAAAAGACATACTCTTATAATAATGACATCAGAATCATTTCCATAGGAGGTAATTTCCATAGCAACTAATCATAGTGACCCAAACAGGAGGATTAGGAAATCAAGTAAGGACTAAATAGCAAATGGACGAATACCTTAAAGGAACAAAAATCTATTTTTTATAATCATGCTTCTTGTAAACAAGAGCTAGTTTTAAAAATCTAATCAGAATTTCCAAATAAAGGAGTTTCCATAAGGTGTCAGCAGTAGCACTAAAAATCTCAAATCACACTGAGCCCCAAATGTCTTTGCAAGAAATAAAAGTAAAAGAATTAAATTACTGCCCTGAGTACAATCTCTGGAGGTCTTTTTAAAGCTTGTAAGAACTCCATTTGGATCAGAACTACATTATTACAAAGCAAAATTGAATGCTTGACAAAAAATAACATTAATTTAAATGAAGTCTTTTATTATTTTTATATAGCAGAGTCTTTTTTTTCACTTTAATAATGATATAACTGCCAGGTTGCTTTGTGTTTGCCCAGGACTCCAAGTAAGAATTGGGACTCAAGAGAATAATGATATAAGAGGTCTCCTGTGTCTGGGACACCTGGATAGACATGGGTTTTGATTAGAAAGAAACCTGATATCTTGCCTGATAGTCTTTAGAGAAAAATCATGTGTTTGAAAATCTAAAAAAGTAAGATTAATTTGTTTCTTCTAACTGGAAGGCTTGTAGATTTTTGTTGTGATTGCTAATCCAGCAAATGGCATACTAAAAATCTAAATGATATTATTTGAATTTTTTTTTTAAACCTCACTTCTGTTTTTGACAGCGTTTGTGACTGTCATTGCCACTAAATTATTGAACTAAAGATGCTGCAGGCAAATTTGTTTCTGAAACTGGCATCTAAGCATTTTTTTTTTTGTAGTTGAAGCCTTCCTTATAACAAAACAGTATTAAAACTTCCATATTATATTCTTTTCATTGTACCTCACGCATATCATATCAAGAAGAATTTAAGTCGTACAGGAAAGGGAATTTATTCATGGAGAAATCACCTAGCAGTTGTGCCCTCAGTGGGGCACTTTGAAACAAGTTTGAAGCCATTAACTTAAAATGATTTAGATAAGCCTGACCAAGGATAACACTCCCACCCCACCCATCGCCCAAAATTATTCACAATATCCGTGCTATTACCAGAGATCCATCTTCCTTTATATGTTGCAGTGTCTTTAAAATTGGGCTGAAGTCTTCAGCTACACTTCCACATTGTACTCATGAAATTTTAGTTCACTTCCCCCAAAAGGTATAATACAAATATGGTGCTTCCTCCTTACCGCCCTCTTTACCTCCCTCCTTCCCAACCTTCCTTCTTTCCTTTCTTCCACAGACAAAAAAAATAAAAATAAAAATATGGAATTAAACCCTATGTCAAGGAGTTTGTCAAAAGAAGGATTTGTTTTTGCACTTCCTAAACTGGATGTTTATGACAGAAAAATATGCCTTGTAATAAAAGACATTTCAACTTTATATGAGCTTGCTTTTCACATTTCTTGTTTGTCCTTTTAATTTGTTTCTTGATATATGAAGACTATAAACTTGAAGCAAAGAATTAGCTGTCAGATCTTAATAATAATATTATAATTGGTGAAACATAATAGAAAGAATAGATATTTTATTATGTTATGATAATTCTGATCTGAAGATAATGGCTTAGACAATTACATTTACATTTCAAGCTTTGGGACATAAATTACAACAGCATTAAGATAGTATTGTTTTTAATTGCTACAAAGTGATGAGCTTTGTACTTAAGCATCTTACAAGGACAAAGAAGGCATTTTGTTACTATAAATGTGCACCTCCTAAGGTAAATGAACTTAAAATATCAGGCATGTCAGCTCTTAGTGAGTTTTGTTAAATCCTTAACTATCTGCAATGCCTCCTGACTTCTTGTGAATGGAAGTGTATGTATGTGGAAAACTAAATCCACTTATTATAAACATCTTATCTTACTCTTTAGGAGCCTCCTAAATGTATTTTACTTAGTATTGTTTATTAAAAATGAAAAATGCCTTGATTTAGAGACAATTCATGTCAGGTAGGTTAAGCAGTCAAGTATTTCTTTAGGCTTATGTTCAACATCTCAGCCACCTACAGAGAAGTTAATTAATTCAATCCAAAATGAAATTATAGGGCAGTTTGGTGCAATTTATGTTAAATGCCATTTGAATGTAATCACCTGTGTTACCATGAATGAAGAACAACTGTACTAGATAGATATAGAAGCTGCACTATGAGCAAGAGCAGAAGTGCTTTGGCAAGAAATATACCTGTGGCTATGGTCAGAATTTATCAAAACTCATTGTCTTATAAAGATTATATTATTGAATAGTAATTAAATTTTAACTGATGATCATTTATATTCTAGAATTTGTCTTCATTGTTCTGCTAGTATTAAACTGTAAGGCATAGAGGTGATTTTTTGCACTTACAATTCAGACTATTGTTTTTAAATGACTATTTGTAATTGCTCCACTGCTAATAATAGTTACATGAAAACGTTTTTTTTTTCTGGATCGTGCATAGCCTTAGTTAACATTAGAAAAGTATTATGTTACCCTTTGATTTTTAAAAGATAAGATTTCATTTGAAAATGTTAGTGTATTATTTTTTATGACATGTTGGTATAGTTGGCATTGTTCATTTTTAATTATGGGTCAAACTTCAGGATTAAAAAGTGTTATGAATATTTTTTTAATGTACCATACTGATAAGGAAGCCTAAGTTATGTTGATGGATGCTTCTATACATTAAGAGAACTGATTCATGAAGACATTTTCTAGCTTTTTCCCTTAGGTTAGTGCCTTTTGAGCTAGACTGATAAAAGTGAACACTATTGTGAAATGGGCTTAACCAAAGAAAGACAAGCCCACTAGCTGGTGATAATTCTTAATAAAACTAATATTCAGTAATCTTAGTGTAACTAGCATTTATTCAAATGTTTGTATATAATCCTTAGACAGCACTCTTAAAAATTCATTGATATAACTTAGGTTTTAGATTAGTAATTCAAAATTTCCCCAGAGCTTAAGTCACTCTGATAATAAATTAGGGACCTAGGACATACTCAGTTGCTGTTAGCCACTAGGAGACTTCTTATTTGAATGAACCTCCCTCAGTATTTAATTCATTCCTAAAGAATACCTCAGGGGAGGGTGGGAGAAATGAGCAATCTTGGCTCAATTATATTATTTTAACATTTTACTTCTAAATATTAATGTGACCAGAAATATTTAATATTTCTTTTTAGAAAAATCTTCCTTTCTCTAAGGAGAAGGCCTGCTAACCATTGTGCTCTGATAAGAAAAAAGTACCTTAAGGTTCATTTAACAAAAATTAAACTATTCCAGAAATCTAATAAACTTTGTTACTTATCTTAATATAGGGAAAAAATGCCAATCTTTGGTATGTTTGAAGTTAGAAAACTAGGCAGATCATTCCAAATAATCTTACTTAAAATTATTTTACATTGTAGCAGTTTGCTCTGAGATACATGATAATTTTTCAATATAACTAACAAAGATTGAAACTAACAAAGACACATTCATTTCTGAATGAATATATTTTTGTTGAATTTAGCCACCTTAATAAACATTTTAATTGTAGCAATTTTCACTATATTAAAGGTGAGAAAAGTATTGAGAATCATCTGTCCACTCAAGTATTAAAACATCTGTTTTATATATTATACATATATAATAAAAGCGAAAGATACATACATATATATGCTCTTAGAGACTTTAATCTAGCTGTTTCCTATTAATTTTAAAAGATTCTTTAAAAATTTGTTACCAATGCTAGCAGCATAAAAATCCAAACCTTTTTCAATAGCTTACAGAAAGCATCATAACCCAGCTTCAACCTGCCTTGCCTTACTAGGATATTTGCTCTTCTTGAGCTCATCTTTGGGACATTGCTGCAACAATTTTGCCTGCTCATCACTTTCTTATGCTATACTCTCTTTGCCCAGAATATCTTTCCTGTTTATCTTCTTCATGCAATCTTCTCTCAACCCAAAGTCATCAAATTTTATTCATTCTTCAATTTGTTAGCTATAAATTCATCAAGACATCATACCCTCTTCAACCTCTTCACCTAAGTAGTTACATGTCTTTGTGTTTTAGATATACCTCTTTATATTAAGTTCTTGTTCATGTTTTTCCCCTATATATTTTGTGAATTTGCCCCCTGAATCACAAATTACCATAAACTTACCAACTTAAAACAATACCCATTTATTATCATATTTTATTAGACCTGAAGTCTGATGAGCTCAGGTTATCTCTCGGCTTAGGCTCCTACAAGGCTGATATCAAGACTGATATTGGCAGTGGTAGGCTTTTATTTGGAGGCTCTGGGGAAAAAGCTACTTTCAAGTCTATTGAGGTTAATGGCAGAATTCAGTTCCTTGCACTTGTGTATTGGCCAGGGGTCACTCTCAGTTCCTAGAGACCTGCTTTCCAGTTCTGGCATATGGCCCCATCAATCTTCACTACCAGCAATATCTCATCAAATCTGGCATGTCAAATTCACCTTGTAGAAGGTTTGAATCTGAATCAAATCACTCTTCCATGTATTACCAGCCAGAGGAAGCTGCTTTTAAAAGGGCTCATGTGATTAGATGCAGACCACCAGGGTAATTCCCCTTTTGATTAATTTGGAGTCCAACAAAAAATATCCTTAATCATACCTGGAAAAATCCCTTTTGTGTGTAATATAATCATGGACATGATGTTATATTCATAGGGCAAGAAATCTTGGGGTACTATTTTAGAACTTTGCTTACCTCACGTTAGATCATTCAAGGGCTAGGGGCATGTTTTATTTGTCCTTTATACCCTGTCATAGTATAATAAATGCAGAATATTAAGTACTTATTGTGTCTACTGTGCTAACAACTTTAACTTGCACATTTAATTTTTATCATACTTTTCCTATTAACTTCACTAAACAAATTAAGACTTTCCCTTTGTTACACTGAATGGTACTTAATAAGAGTATAGACTCTGGAACTAGACTTGGATTAAATTATAGCTCTAGTTTTTCACACCCACAATACAATGCAGTATAAATTTCATCAGGAACAATTCCCTTTAAAGCACAACCAGTAAACAACTAAATGTCTCATGGAACTCACATGAACTCATCACCAGGGAGTGACTATTCAATCCACAAACCACTGTTTTTAAAGTTGAGCAGTCTTGGTGTTGACAAAACTGGGCGAGGGAAGGCAGAGATGCAGCCACCTTGTCATTAATATACGTGCACCCAATAAAGATGAACTTAAATACATAAAATTGTTAATAGATTTCCAGGAGACATCGACAGCAACACTGTAATAGTAAGGGATCTCAACACACCACTTACATCAAAGGATAAAATATCCAGACCAAAAATTAAGGAAATAGTGGCCCTAAATGAACTAATGGATCATATGTACTCTAGACATATATTGAAACTTGCATCCCAGAAGAAATGACTACGCATTCCTCTTAAGTGCACATGGGACATTCTTAAAGATAGATCATATGTTGGGACACACAACAAATCTCCACGATGGTATGAAACTAGAAATTAACCACAAAAGGAAAACTGGAATGACCTCAACTATGTGGAGACTTAATATGCTCCTGAACAACTACTGGATAAACAAAGAAACCAAAGGAAAAAATATAGTTACCTTGAGACCAACAGAAATGAAGAGATGAGCTATCAGAACTAATGGGGTGCAATAAAACCAATTTTACAAGGGAAGGTCAGTGCATACAGACCCACGTCAATAAATAAAACTCCCAAACAAAAAAATCTAACCTTGTATCTGAAAGAACTAAAAAAGAAAAACAAAAGCAAACAGTCAGTAGAAACAAGGAGATAATAAAAATTAGAGCAGAAATTAATGAAATAGAAACTAAAGAGGTTATACAAAGTATCACCGAAACCAAGAGCTGTTTCTTTGAAAGGATAAACAAAGATAAACTCTTAGCTAGGCTCACTAAGAAAAAAAAAAAAAAAACAAAAACTAATAAGAAGAATGAAGAATGAAAGGTGAAATCACAACTGCTGCTGCAGAAATGCAAAGGCTCATAAGCGACTATTATGAACGCATATATGTAAACAAATGAGACAACCTAGAAGAAATGGAAAGATTTATGGACTCCTGTAACCTTCCAAAACTGACCTTGGAGGAAATAGCTTGAGCAGACTAGTCACATGTACAGAAATTGAAAGAGTAATCAGAAGTCTTTCTACAAACAAAAGTCCAGGACAGATAACTTCCCTAGTGAATTCTACCACACCTTCAAAGAGGATTTAATACATCCTTCTCAAACTCTTCAAAAAAATTGAAGAAGGGTGAAAGATCCCAAACACATTTTTCAAGACCAACATTATCTTCATCCAATAAACATAGATTGCAAACCGAATCCAACAAAAACTGAAAGAATTATAACTAGTGTCATTCATTCCAAGATGAAAGGATTGTCCAACATATGCAAATCAATTAATGTAATATATATCACATCAAAAAAAAAAAAAAAGGAAAGCCACATGATGTTACCTGGAATAGATGCTGCAAAAAATTTTGACAAAATTCAACAACCATTTATGATAAAAATTCTTGACGAATTGGGAATAGAAAGAACATACCTCAACATAAAAAAAGGCCATAAATGACAAACCCACAGCTAACATGAGTCAAAGGAAAAAACTGAACGCTTTTCAGTCAGGGACAATACAGTGGTGTCCTATCTCATTACTGTTCAACATAGTTTTGGAAGTCCTAGCCAGAGCAATTAGGCATGAAAAAGATATAAAAGGAATCTAAATTGGAAAAAGAAATAAAACTATCACTAGTTGCAGATGACATGAATATAAATAAACTCCTAAAGACTCCACCAAAAACATAGAAATATTAGGTGAATATAGTAAGTTGTCAGAATACAAAATTAACATGTTTATGAAGTATATATTATGTACAAAAATCAGTTAATTTCTGTATGAAGTAAATTAGAGAAAAGATAAATGAAGACAATAATCCCATTTACAATCTCATCAAAATGGATAAAATACCTGGGAATAAATTTAACAAAGTAGGGGGCCTCCCCGGTGGCGCAGTGGTTGAGCGCTGGGCTGCGAAGCTGCCCGCGGCCTCTGCGGCGCTGGTTCGATACCCGGCTGCTCCCCGGCCACCGGAGCAGGGTCCCACATGGCGCGCAGACCTCTCCTGCCGCCCGCTGCTCCCCTCAGCAGTGTACTTCGGTCCTTCTGCCTGCTCTGCTCCCTGCTCTGGCTCTGGTGAATTCTCTCACCCTCCCGCGCTTCTGACTGTGCCCAGTGCATGTATAAACAAAACAAAACAAATAAATAAAAAAAAAAATGCCTCTATTAAAAAATAAATAAATAAATAAATAAATAAATTTAACAAAGTAGGTTAATGACCTACATCCTGAAAACTTCATGACACTGTTAAAAGATACAGAAGAAGACAGAAAGAAATGTAAAGATATCCCATCTTCATGGATTGAAAGAATAAACATTCTTATGGTCATATTACCTAAAGCAATATACAGATTCAGTGCAATCCTA